TTTAGGTACTCAATTTATTTTTGATCGTTGTGGCTGAGTACAGTTAGATGCTCTGCCCAAAGGTGAGGAATGGAGAAACAGAAATGTCTTTATTGGCACTTAGATGCCTTCATGTCCTGTTGGTCATCTGAGCTGTTTTCTGAAGGAAAACACTAGGGACAGATCTATTTTGTTCCTAACAGTTGTTTAGATATTCCAAAAATATTTTAATTACTTCTACTTGTAATTCCCATTCCAGTGACATCAAGCTGGTTTAGAGAAAAAAGTAAAGGTGGAGCAAGGTTGATCAGAGGAAATACCAAACTAAGCATGTGAACTTCAGTAGGGCTAAGCTTCAGTGTCCTTCTCATACTCACTTTGAAAGTCAAACGCTGCCTCCTGGAAATTTCCTGTGTAGTTTTAAAAAATGCAGGTTGCTGTTGCTGCCCCCAAAACTGTTTTGCAATGTAAACTGAAAGCAGCTTCTTTGTTTCTCGTGTCCTTTGCTGATGATCAAGTGACTCTTGCTGCATATACTTTGCAAATGTCTTTGGAAGCAAAAGATGTGTTTCATCTCTGAATGTATATGGCATAGGGCAGATTTCCACCCTCCTTCAAACTGCGCTGACAATTTGGAAGACAAAGTTATGAAAAACAGAGATCATCTACCACTGACAGTACGTAAGAAATCTATTGTTGTTGGAAACATTTTGTCCTTGTGCATAAACCTACTAGCAACATAAATATTATATATTCAGCCCAACTTGATATATTACTTCAAACTGAAGTAGATTGAGCTATTGCTTTGTACAAATACTTCATCATAAAATGTACAATTCAGAGAATGTATAAAAGGACAGAGATAACTCAAATGTACCTCATTGCTCTTATTTAGATTGATATATATTAGCAGATCAATGGTGAAATGTATGCAGATAAATATTTTTTTTTAAATTTTCAAAGAAAATATGGTAAGTTCTTGTAACAGAAACCTTCAACAATCTGATTTGTATTCTCAGTATTCTTTTGGGTACAATGCCGTTTTTCAGAAGTTCAGGGAGTATTCAGAAATAATTCACATTTTTTTCCTTGCCTTAAATGGATGAATTAGTGTAAAGAGATTTCCAGTTGGTTTTGAATGTGGCAGCTTCAGGCAGGAGGCTCATATATCACAATCTTAAAATGTCTTCTCTGCTTTTTATAACATTTTCCCACAGTAAAGCAAATGTTTAGGAATAACACCAATTAAAAGACACATTTTTGGTTTACTAGAACTGATCAACAGCCCATATTGCCAGCTATCCAATCCTCAACTTTCCAGCACTGACTGCCTCAGAGAAAGGCAAAAGCATATCCTTAATGCCACTGACTTTGCAACAGTGCACCACTGAGCCTGCAGTCTTCCCAGCTCTACGCTGTGAGCATCCTAGTCGGCAAACCAGGAGGAGTCTGAGCTCCTGAAGCTTTTGACTTAGCTACTGCTACGTGATATAACTGAAGTGTATATGTTGGCAAGCTAAATTGCCCATCCTAGTATATTCTATTTGTGGAAGAGGTTGCAAAATGAAACAAAGTCATTTTCAATTTCAAACCTGCTTTAATTTCAAAGGGATCAGGCAGGACCCAATTTTTATTCTTGAATCTTTTTAGTTTTCCAGTATTAAATCACAGAAATTACTGAGTTTATTCCAATACCTGAAAAGTTATTTGGATTGCTCATATATTAAAAACTTTTTAATTATACTGTCAGGGGTAAAAGATACTAAATTTTTCATGCAAGATACAAGGTGTTCCTAGTGTAAAAAATTATTTGCAGATTGTTTTTTAGAGGGTTGTTTTTTAACCAACTCACTTCATACCCAAAACATGCACGAGTTTTTGGCACCTGCACAGTAATTACTACATCAGGATCAGGAAGACCCTAACCAGTACTCTTAAGGAATTAAACATAAGACGTGTAATAAGCAAAAAGAAATTATACTTATAGAATTGTCTTAGGAAATTTAAAGACGCATAAAATATCTTGAAGCTGTGTTTTATAATAAGGCAGGAAATTATTGGGATGATGTTTGCATGGTCTCTTCCCCCTGCTAAACATTGACGGACTAAAAGCACCAAATAAATTAGGAGTTCTCTAAAGGAGATCATCCTTTGACCTGGATGAATTTAATGGTTAACTTCTGTCCTCTGGTACCCACAGCACCCCTAGGCAGCCTTGGCCAGCTGCTGAGGAGCATGCAAGAGGTAATGACACAGCAGTTGCAATCAACTACTAGTAGAGAAGGAGAGGGCATTCAGAGTCCTTTGCTAAGGTTTGGTATGAGCTGAGAGAGCTTCCTTTTGGGCACTTGGGAAGTCCTGACCTGGGAGGTACCCCTGGCTGGGCAGCTGCACTGCCCAAACTCAGCACCTCAGGTACTGAATGTCTTCATCTGCATTGCAGAGGAAATTGTTTGGATCTGAATCAGAGTCAGACTCTTCAGGGCAACTCTGCCTAATTTTGACCACAACGATCTCGGAGAAGGTTTAACCTACAGCCTACAAAATAGATCTGCACCTCTTGTGCCTTGGAAGGTCAAACAAAGTTCCACTGAATTCACTGCTGGAGGTGATCTTTAAGGGAAAGGTGGCTGAGGAGTTAATACCTCAATAACATCAGTGCTATCCAGAATCCGCCAACTTCCTGGCCTTATTTCAGTTTGGCTTCCAGCCTAATTAAGGCACACAGAGACTGTGCTAACACATTATCTTTTCCTAATGATGGACAAAGGTCTGACATCCATAATGGTGCTCTATCATCAGCCTTTGCCTACAGGGACTGTTAGTGACGTGCCTGCCTCCCTTTCTTTGTCACAGGATGCAGACATTGCCTTTTCTCTGCCTTCTTTGTGCCTGGCACTGATGGAAAAGTGAATCTGGACCAAATTCCAAAGTTATTAGGAAACTAACTTGGTAAGTAGGTACCCAAGTCAGCCCTGAAATGTGGCTAGTATCTCTAGCCAGGCCGTTCACCCACCTCCTCGGTAACAATTGGGCTATGCTGTCTGCTTCACCCTGGAGACTCAGTAACACTTATGGCAAAACATGTTTTCTCCCTCCTATCGAATACTTGTTGCTATCTCTCTCTGATCCATGAAAGTCTGGTGATTTATGCATTTGTGAAATTCACACTGGATTTCTGGTCACATGCCTTCTATGGGCAGCTTTTCCAGACTATTCAGACATTAAAACTAACATAGCGTGCAGCTGGCTGCTAGTGCACGTGTCGGCCAGATGTAGCACATTACAGGAATTCTCTGAGGGCTGTGTGAGCTTCCCCTGCTGCTCCAGGTGCAGCTCAAGGTGTGGGTGCTGGTGTTGGTGTGCTGTGGGACTGCCTTCTCCAAGGTTAACTTGGGCACTGCTACCACCCATTGATAGGCTTTCTGTGGTGGCGGGGGTCCTTTTTACCCTTAAGGTTTGCTGCTTCATTTTGTAGGGGAAAAGCTGGACAAGCCCTTTGGAGCAGAGTCTCAGGTTTAGCTACTTATTCTGTAGGTAACCATGGGGAAGGTGCTGTAGGACATACGTAAAATTCACTGGGGCTAGTGCTTGCCAATCAGTTCTTTTCTGCAGAAGGAATACATTAAATCCCTGAATGAATCCAAGAAAATCAAGGACAGCGATGCTTCATAGTGTTTCCAGGGGCTATCCTCTTGATACTAAACTACGAAAAGATTATAATACGATAAAGAAGCAACAGTCTCGTGCTATGAAATACATTCACTATCACACAAAAAAAATCATCATTACTGTCAAAAGGAATTCCCCAGTAAATAACAGACCATCTCCCTTACACAATTTGCAGCATCATGAATGAATAGCATGGTAATCCAGCAAAATCCTTATGCTTAATGAGATAATGAAAAGTCATACAGCAGATGGAAAAGCTCTTCTAAATCTCATTAACCTGCCTCTTGGCTTTTCTGATATCAGTGAAACTTGGGAGTAACTCCAGGGGAAGAGTGCATTTGCAGCAGGGTAAAATGAGTACTGGAGAACAGGGAACAGAACCTAGCATCTGGGCTGAGAGGGGGAACGCAGTGGTTCTCCACCATGTGAATTAGAAATGAAATATCCAAAAGAAGGTAAGCGTTTGCCCGCAATGCCCACACAGCTCTGACATGAACACTCATCCCCCTGAAGAAAGCAAGATAGTGCCCTATGCTCCCTGACACACCACAGCTTCTGCTTTTGAAGCCTTTTTTTCCCTCAGGTCTGTTTAAAATGATCAAATGAGGGTTGAAGCACTCCCATGCTGGGGAGAGGCCCAAAGATGTGAGGGCCCGCTATTTTTAACCAAGTGCTGAAGCCTCAAGGGGCTAAAAAAAATGTCATCATAGACTCATAGAATAGTTTGGGTTGGAAGGGACCTTACAGATCATCCAGTTCCACCCCCCTGCCACAGGCAGGGACACCTTCCATTAGCCCAGGTTGCCCCAAGCCCCGTCCAACCTGGCCTTGAACCCTGCCAGGGAGGGGGCGGCCACAGCTGCTCTGGGCAACCTGTGCCAGTGTCTCTCCATCCTCACAGGGAAGGATTTCTTCCTTACATCTAATCTACATCTACAGTCTGTCAGTGTAAAACCGTTCCCCCTCGTCCTACCCCTACACCCCCTGATGCAGAGTCCCTCCCCACCTTTCCTGCAGCCCCTTTCAGCCCTGGGAGGCCGCTCTAAGGTCTCCCCGGAGCCTTCTCTTCTCCAGCTGAACCCCCCAACTCTCTCAGCCTGCCCTCACAGGGGGTGCTCCGTGGCCGTTAAACACAACACCGCCTCAAGGAGATTCCCTCCCCCCTTTAATTCCCAATCTCTTTTAATGACGCCCTGACCCCTCGAAGGTGTAAAACCGGACCTGTCCCGCACCGTCCGCGCGTTTGCGGCCAGAGAGGCGGCACCTGCCC